GCTGTCCAGTCCAGTATACATGACATGCTGCCTTCGCTAACGAATGAGGAGAATTCTGTAGTTTGAACTACATACATAGATGTGGGGGGAAAGAAAAACTCTAAACATGGTGCATGACCATGAACATCAAGACCTTTAATTTCAAAAGCTGATGAGAAGATATCAGGCCTGAATTTATCACCTAGATTTATTTTTCACATAAGTAACCAGAAGGTTTGTTGTAGAGAATGAACACTCAATGCTATTTAGTATCTCTGAAGTGATCAGTGTTAGTGATGTGAAGTACTACAGCCCTCAAAGTAAGTCGCTTATCAGGTAGGTCCTAGCCAGTTTGGGGACATGCAGCAGCCAGAGCTGTTCCAAAACAGGTCTTCAGTATGGCATTAAGTGAGCTGCAGTTCTCGCTAGTGTAAGATGAGAGCAGTGTAAGAAGCTATCTAGAATAGCTACGTGATCTCTTTTAGCATGGTGAGTATTTTAAATTTCCCCAACTAGAAATCTTTCTGAAACAGTGGTGAAGGCAAGAATGTTTGAAAAGCCCGTCCTGTAATGCAGCACCTTATCTTCATTAAAGCTCAGATTTGGGAAAATCCCTAGGACTTGATTGTATCAGACATATCACAGAGGTATTCCTAAAGCATATGGATGAGACAGGAAGATAAAATGCAGCTGAGCAATTTTTCATTATCACCTTACCGGTTGCCTTGTGTATGGACACATCATTACACTTCTTTCTACGAGAGAAAAATGGGCTTTACTTCCGTATTAGGGCAGGAGAGCAAAACAAGAGCAAGGAAACAGTCACAGAATGAAGATGTAAGTGATGCCAGAAAAGATATTTAAAGGGACATTGTCAACCTGAAACCTTCCTTATTTTTGGAAAACTGTTTAGAAATAGTTTTAGGCACTACACTTGGTTCCTGAATACTCCTGCTATTCTTGCGGTTTTGCGATCGCTTTTTTTCCTATAAGAAATACAGAGGAAATTGACTGAATGTTTTGGGTGGGGGAGGGCACCGGGAGAAAAGGAGAGAACAGAGACAGTGAAACTGACTATGGACAAAGAGATGTCAATTAATGCAAAAAATTGAAAGAGTACATTTTGTTTCTCACTTATAGTGATCTTACAAGATGACAGACGTGTGATTTTTAAATGCATGCTCTCTCCCAACCTTGCCCACTGTGTATAAATCTCCTTAAAGTATCTTTTAAAGTATGTATTTACATCAGTTTTGTTTTGGTTACACTGACCTGTAATGTAAATGTTTACTGACCTGTAAACATTTTGAGTTTGAAACATCTTACAATATGCTTTAAATACTATAGAATTCTCTAAATAACAGCACTTACGAGCTGCAAGTGCTATTTAACGTTTAGGGCTGTATTTTGAAACACAGGCTCAATTAGTTTCCTACAAATTAGAAATGCAGTGAATTGAGGTCATTTAGATTTAATTACCTGATTGTATCTGAAAATAAGCTACAACATCAGTGATCAAAAGTAAACTGTGGGTGTAAAACTGGGGGCCCCAGTTAAGGCTGGGCTGAAAAGTAGTGCTCTTCCACCTTGAGACGTCTACCAGTGACAACTGTATTCTATTACCCAGCTTTAGATTGTCTTGTACCAGTCACCCAAATCTGTAGGACACATGAGACACTAACACTGGCAGTAACAATTCAGTATTTCATTCACAATGTAAAAACAATCTCCTTCCAATAAAAGGGATATCAACTAAAACTTTCAACTCAAAATAAGATTTTTCTAGTTAACACAAAACACAAATGACATGCTTGCTCTGTTTCAGGCACTTTCAAGATCATAGTTTATTTACTGTAGGTAAAAAGCTAGTATACAGATTAGGGATCCCTTAAACTTCAACTCTACAGTTATACACCACTTAGTATTTTTGCTCTGAATGTTAACCAAAAAGTTTCTAAACACCTGTAAGCCCCACTATTAGTATGCATGTTATGAGAAAAAAAAAGTTTAATTTGCTCAATGCATAATATTTACACTGTGAAACCAGTGGCAGATAACAAGCAGTGGTAAAGAGGTAATAAACTTTAAAAAGCCAAAGTTTATATTTTTTACATTGTGCTAATAAACATAATTGTATATAAAATAATGAACATAGTAGAGCTTCCCATTACAGAAATCTTAGTCATCTGAACTGTAGTCATTACTTGCTAACAATTTACATGCAAGACCTCCTAGGTTTGACATTTGATTTTTTTAAGTGTAAGTAGATTATGACATTTAAGAGACAAACATTAACTTGTGTACAAACAAAATTAAAAACTGCACTCAAGAACTGTACTGGTCACAAGCCTCTTCCATACAGAAATAATATAAACAATGACGGCAACTGGTCTTCTTTCCATACAACAAACATTATAAAAGGCGATGCTTAGGCTGAGTTGTACCTGGATGGTACAACTCCATAGACATTGGGAACACACAGAGTTCACACACATGCTCTTTATAAGAGGCCCATCTTTCCGTCCAATGGCAATGGCTGAAAGCAAGTAAGGGGCACAGGTGTACAACTAATTAAATCTTGCAAAATACAAAGATGGGGGGCTGTTAATATACAATTCAAACTATATACAGAATATAATGGAATGTATCCCATCCCAAAACTGCTTTGTGAAACAACTGGACCTGTCTACACTAGCCTCGTAATTCAGAGTTGTAATATAACAAAATGTTAAGTACACAAGAGATTTACATGAGAGGTAAAACTTATGGGGCATTTTACATTAACTATTTGTGCAGATGTTTAATGGATATTCTAATTTTAAAATAATTTTGTTAAGCACATTTGAACCAATGTCTATATATAAAATGTCCTGACAGACACTTCAATATTTAACTTTGGTGATTTAAAAGGCCTTTTTGTGACTTTTGTATGAACGGCACGGCAGAATGTTACTGATGCGTGTACACCTCTGCATCAACCCGAGATTTGGTGATCCAACAGTGCATGCACATTTCTTTCTTGAGGTGCTTTCCAAGTTAAACCATTCCAGCAACCAAAAAGTGAAAAATGGACTAAACTAAGAATTTCAGGTAACTGTAATTTAATAGGGAATGGAATGCCAATATGGCAGCAAAACTTTTTTTAAACAGGAAAGTCTCTTGTACCAGCAGAATCCGTATACAGATACACAAAGGGAGAGGGAATACACCACCTATCATTCCTGTGAAACAAGAGCTGATTCATCATGTGAGAAGGTACAAATTACAGAAAACATGAATAGTCAATAGAAGAGAAACAACTGCTTTACATAAAGAAGAGAGAAGAACACTTCAATCTGATCGCAGTTATTTTGTGAAGGCAGCTACAACAGCCCAGAGGACCTCATTTGTGTTGGCCTTCAGACATTCAACTTCAGGGTCTAAATCCAGAAGCTGCCGCACTCTCTTTGTGGCTAAATCATACTGCTCATCCAGTAGGGGGGCAAAAGCGTTCTCAAGAACATCTGAAGCATGGGCTAAGTAAATGAGAGCCAGCAAGCGCTTGTCCATGCGGTGAGGGTCATTCACCCATTTGTCAAGAACTGCTTCTTGAACTTTCTTGATGAGGCGCTGTTTTATATTGTTGTTGGTGAGAGGGTGGGTAGTCATGTCAAAAAGAAGGAAGTTCTGTTTCTCTGTCGTCAATACACCTTTTTCCACTAGGTTTTTAGCTAATCGTTCACGCACGTTTCGTAACTGGTAGTGCAATTTTAATGGGTTCCATGTCTCACCTAAAAAAGAAAAAAAAAAAAAAATCAGTTAATCAAGGTTTAGCTCCTACCTTGACTATTAACAAGGATAAGTGTTCACTTTTTTTGTAGTGCAGAAATAAAGGCTTCAAATAATATAGTGGCTTAGTGCAGAAAGATGCCATACTACCGGCAGCTCTCTTCTAACCTCTGGCCAGCAGATATAGGCTTAGACAAGTGGAACGTAAGAGTGCCTCCCTGAACAACTTCAGGGCACTCCAACTTACATAAAACATGTAGCTGGTTTGTTTGCGCTCTGTTGAAGGTGAAATGCAAGCTAAGTGATGACTTTGTTACGACTATATATTTGTCATCACTTACGTATGTAAGAAAACCATGGAAAGTGGAGAAGAAACAGAGGAAAACGATGAATAAAAATAATTCTTTGTGAAGAAAATGTCTCTCCAATCTTTCCCAGTTGTCCATTTCCAGCACTACCGCTTGAAAAGGCTGGGAAACTGTCGTTTTCAGCCATTGCCATTCTTTCTGCCACAAAGTTGTGCTAATGCTGATTCTTATCCCAGATATCGTTCTAATTGCTTTATCTGATTAGTTTTATACTCATTTCCTTTTTATAGACAAATCTGAGATAAAGGTGACCATCCACCCTCTACTATATGTCTTCTTGTAATGCCTGAAGAAAGCTATGATGTTGACATGAAATAAGGAAAGGCATTTCCAAACACATTGTTAAAGGAGAAGAACAAAATTTTAAAAAGTATTTTACTTAACCTTAAATATTTCGGGTAAAACCATGTAAATAAGTGCAGAGTATTACAGCAATGGCTACTGCTTAGCTAAGATTGACAAACATTTCAATTTAACTCTTGTTTTTAGTCACTCGTAACCTGCTTAAGCTTTTATCTTGTGGGCTGAAATTTTAGATGCCGTCTGTTGAAGGTGAATTTTTTAAGAAAGAAAAGATAAGACCCAAAAACATACAAACAAAAAAGTTTCCCTCATATAAAAAAAATATCTTTTTGAAAAGCCAGCAAGGAGATGAAAGTTAAAAATTTGGCATGGAGATGGCTCTTCTTCATAAGGGCTTTCGTACATTTCTATGACAAATGTTCCGATTTGGCAAGTTACAGGCCTTTGAAAATGCCATTTTGCATATATACAATAAAAATGTTTAAATTGTAGCGGGTGTAATTCCTTCAGAACATTTCAAGGAAACACAGGGTGTGCTGCACATGTATATATAATAAGTGACAAATGTAATAAAAAACTGACTGTAAAGTTTTGTAGTGTGACTCAAAGATCCTGTGAACGTATGACTCCTTCAGCATGCACATTATTGCCTAGTGAACGACAAGGGCACTCTACCAGCCCTGCCTGATTCAACGTCGTTTCCTCCGGTGGGTCCTGAAACTGTGCCTAAATAATGGATCACAGTAAGAGAAAGTAAGTAGGGAATATTAGCTAATTGTTTCCTTGCTTTTTTAGGTGTTTGTATTACTCAGATGTAGATCGTTGGTGCTAATAAAATGAGTAGTTTGGTGACACCTTGTGTCCAACTACATGGAACTGCACTACTAGAGATTTAGACGTGGTGGCTGTATTTTCAGAAACAGTGGATGTTCTGACACAAGTTTGCATGTTCTGTAGGCTGCTTTCCGTAGGGATCACCTTAGGAACCACGCCTGCTTGAAAAAGTTGCCTTAAAATGGCCCAATTTGCACTTCCATGATGGCTCTGGAAGAGGTCATGTAAGCAACCTTCTTAAATAGAATCTTCCTTTCTCTCTCACTTACATTATACTGCACTAATTTAAGATACAAGTGGCTTTTCCCCAGGAAAAGTCTTCAGCCAAAATACTAAAAAACAAAAACTGTGTGTTGTTGTGAAGTCTATTTAAAAATCCAAGTATTATTCTTCAAAAAGCAGTTCTCTAAACCAAGGATTCCCAAATCCTACCCCCAAACCAGCCACCAAATAACAGAGTATAAATAAAGAAGATTGATCTAGCTTTCAGGCATATCCACCTTCGGCTGTGATCTCCTCAGAGCTCAAAGCTCAGAAGGGTCAAACCAGGTCAAAATATGGATGAGACCTTAAAGGAAAACCTAGGGTGTTGGTGACACATTACATGACCTTTGAATCAGGACTGGCCCAGTACTCTCAGCATGGGGAAACAGGCAGTGTGCTAATATGAATGAGGTATTTTGGATAAGAAAAGTAAATGCCTTTACAAGCTGTGGAAATATTTGCAGGATTAGGGGGCTGTTAACCAGAACTCCTATTAAATCACAAAACTGTTCTTTCCTTTCCCTCTCCCATTAATTCATGCACAGTGAAAGAAGAGAGAGGAGGGATAGTGATAATGAATGTGAAGTATGAAATGAAGTGGGAGAAAAGGTGAATCAGTGAAGAGGGAAGGAAGGAGGGGAAGGAATGAGACTCCACTCTAATTTAAATACTGATCTGAGTTATTTGTGCTATACAGAAGGGGGGGGGGGGAAATCTCAAGGGAACACTGATTTTAGCCCTCTAACTTCATTCTGCCTGTCCTGAAGTCATGTTGTAGTTTCCATTGAACACAGTAGTTTTCTTCACTTTCTTTTCGAAACTACATAGTGTTGCTCTGTAGTGTTCAACAACAGCTACAATCCATGTAAGAGTAGCTGCATTTCATTTCCATTCTGGGTGAAATAACAGAGACAAACAGGGTGGATAAAAAGAGATGATTTTAAAAAAATCAAATACATTTAAATACATTTTTCTTTGTTTAACATAAACTTGTTTAAAATTAAATTGAAATTATGACAATTTATGTTAAGGCATAATTTTACTATATTCTAGTCAAATCATTTAAATAAAAATATGCTGCGTCAATTAACCCTCCTCAAATTTTAATGAGTTGGAGGGTGCTGATTTTTTAATTTATATATAGAATCAGGGGGAAAATCATATTTGAAGTTAACTCAAGTTTTATAAATACGTCACAACGTTATGTACTGCATTAAGTATCTATATTATTTTCAGTCTTTATAATGGAGCAAATGCTGGCATTTATATTTTTACAAATGTAAGTACTTTTAGTTTCTGCTGAGCAAAGAACCTTTTGCCTTAATTACTTTTGGTTTCAGTTTGCTAGCAGCTGGTGCAAAGAGAATATTTTCTTCATGTGGACTATTTCATTCAAAATTGAGAAACCAGTTTGGAGTTGAAAAAGCAAGAAAGCTTTTTTAGTCCTAAGTGGCCCACAGGATCTGGTTCAAGAGGTGAATAGAGCTGACCTGCTTAGTAAAACCAGCCATAATGTAATTAAATTTAGCATCTTTCTGGGGGGAGGACGGAGGAAAGAAATCCACCACAGTAGCATTTAACTTCAAAAAGGGAAACTACACAATGTGAGGAACCTAGTTAAATGGAAATTAAAAGCAACAGTCACAAGAGTAAAATGTCTGCAAGCTGCATGGAAACAATTTAAAAACAACACAATAGAGGCTCAACGAAAACACTGCCATTGTGACTAAACAAAGTAAAAGAGGCAGTTAGAGGCAAAAAGAGATCCTTTAAAAATCGGAAGTCAAATCTTACAGAGGAAAATAGAAAGAAGCATAAACTCTGGAAAGTCAAGTGTAAAAGTATAATTAGGCAGCCCAAAACCAAATTTGAAAAACTAGCAAAAGACAAAAAGAAAAAGAAAGAAAGGAAAGAAAAACAAGCAAAAAAATGTAAATATACCAGAAGCAGAAACCCTGCCAAACAATCAATATGGCCACTGGACGATCAATGTGCTAAAGGAGCACTCAAGGAAGACAAGGCCCTTGCAGAGAAGCTAAACGAATTCTTTGCATGGGTCTTCACTGCAGAGGATGTGAGGGAGATTTTCACACATGAGCCATTCTTTTTAGGTAACAAATCTGAGGAACTGTCCCAGAATGAAGTGTCAATAGAGGAGATTTTGGAGCAAACTGGTAAATTAAACAATAATAAATACCCAGAACCAAATGGTATTCACTTGAATTCCAAAGGAACTCAGATATGAAATTGCAGAACAATTAACTGTAGTATGTAACCTACCATTTAAATCACCCTCTGTAGCAGATGACTGAAGGATAGCTAATGTAATGCCAACTTTATAAAAAGGCTCCAGGGGCAAGTCTGGCAATTACAGGTCAGTAAGTCTAGCTTCAGTACAACGCAAATTGGATGAAACTATAGTAAAGAACAGAATTATCAGACACATAGATGAATACAATATGTTTGGGGAGAGTCAACATGGCTTTTGTAAAGGGAAATCATGCCTCACCAACCTATCAGAATTCTTTGATGGTGTCAATAAGCATGTGGACAAGGGTGATCCACTGGATATACTGTACTTGGCTGGACTTTCAGAAAGTCTTTGACAAGGTCCCTCACCAAAGGCTCTTACGCAAAGTAAGCAGTCATGGGATAAGAGGGAAATTCCACTCATGGATCAGTAACTGGTTAAAAGACAAGAAACAAAGGGTAGGAATAAATGATCAGTTTTCACAATGGAGAGAGGTAAGCAGTGGGATTCCCCGAGGATTTGTACTGGGACCAGTGCTGTGAAACATATTCATAAATGATCTGGAAAATGGGGTAAACAGTAAGGTGGCGAAGTCTGCAGATGATATAACATCACTCAAGATAGATAAGTCCAAAACTGACTATGAAGAGTTACAAAGGGATCTCTCAAAACTGGGTGACAAAACAGCAGATTAAATTCAATGTTAATAAGTGCAAAGTAATGCACGTTGGAAAACATAATCCCAACTATACCTACAAAATGGTGTGGGGTCTAAATTAGCTGTTACCATCCAGGAAAGAGCTCTTGGAGTCATTGTGGATAGTTCTCTGAAAACATCTGCTCAATGTGCAGGGGCAGTCAAAAACGTGAACAGAATGTTAGAGACCATTAGGAATGGGATAGATAATAAAACAAGAAATATCATAATAGCACTATATAAATCCAATGTACACCCACACCTTGAATACTGAGTGCAGTTCTGGTTGCTTCATTTCTAAAAAGATATATTAGAATTGGAAAAAGTACAGTATGAAGTATGAAGCAGCTTCCATATGAGGAGAGATTAAAAACACTGGGACTGTTCAAGCTTGGAAAAGAGACCACTAAGGGGGCGATCTGATACAGGTTTATAAAATCATGAATAGAGTAAAGAAAGTGAATAGGGAAGTGTTATTTACCCATTCACATAACACGTGAACGAGGAGTCACCAGATAAAGTTGATAGGCAGTAGGTTTAAAACAAACATAAGGAAGCAATTCTTCACACAACGCACAGTCAACCTGTAGAATTCATTGCCAGGGGATGCTGTGAAGGCCAAAAGTATAATTGGGTTCAAAAAAGAATTAGATAAGTTCATAGAGGATAAGTCCATCAATGGCTATTAGCCAAGATAATCAAGGACGCAACCACATACTCTCGGTGTCCCTAAAACTCTAACAGAAAGTGGGGCTAGATGACAGGGAATGGATCACTTGATAATTGCCATGTTCTCTTCATTCCCTCTGAAGCATCTTGCACCAGCCACTGTCACAAGATAGAATACTGGGCGAGATGGACCATTGGCCTGACCCAGTATAGTTATGTTCCTTTCCTAGTAAATGAATAAAATCAAGGAGGTGGGAGGTGAAATCCACAAATTCTAAAAACTTAAAGGTTATGGGGCCAGATTTTTAAAAACAGACCCCTAATAATGCAAACAGATGCCAGTGGGATTTTTAAACAGTGTCTAAGCAGGTTTCATGTTGATTTCATCTTCTTTTAATGTGAGTTAGAGACCTAGTTACTTTTGAAAATCCCATTAGGCATCCATCTGCATTTTTAGGCACAAATATTTTTGAAAATCTGGCACATGGTGACCAGAAACAGTCAATTCACTGACTACAGTTAATACTTTTTTTGTTTAATAAATTAGTTTAAAATGCAAAACATGTTCTTGTAAACACAAGGGAAAAAATAAGTTTACAACACAAAATAGTTTTATTTTACTAATATAAAACAATTTTAAAACAGGTTTTTGCATATTTTTAATTGAATTCTAATTTCCATCCAAATACAGCTTGACAAATCCTGAGCAAAATATCATCTAGCAAATATGAAATGTATCATTCACTATTTTCTAACCTAAATAATGTAAAAATTAAGAATCCAAATAAATGTATACTTAAGTTATATAACTGCTTAAATAAAGGAGTACAGATAGCGTATCCCCTGTTTAGCAAAAATTAGTACCATATTTAGCATAAAGGCTATTTAATGTTTGCAAATCAACACATTTCAATGGTTATACCAACCAATGAGAATGAACCATTTTTTAGGAAAATTCCTAAAAAGTACAAAGGTGAAATAAGATTAAAAACAAATGATTAAAATCGAGGTTTCCTGCTTGCTGATTTAAATCATGACTGCAACTGGCAATTTAAATCATTTTGATTTAAATTAATCCATCCTTCAGACAAACAACTTTGAAATGAGTCTTGCTACACTGAGATGGAAAGGCACTGCATAAAACAAGATGATCATCATTCAGTGGTAGAATTCCCTTTTCATTTCAGTGCAACTGATGCACTATGTGGAGAACAACTGTCATGGATTTAAGTGTACTTGCAATTAACATTTTCTTCAGTAATGGTATAATCTAATTTGCATTCCATCTCTTAAAACCTATTTGTGGAACTGTATCAAGGCAATTGTGCCCCAATAAGTCATATTGCATCCTTCATTCTGAAGATATTAGAACTGACTACTCTGATTAGTCAAATTTCAAAATATTTTATAAGTTTCTCTGAATGGTGAATTCTGAAACAAAAGTAAAGGAAGTTGTGGGCTTGTTTTGATTTATAAAATCTCCAATTTAATTATGTCCTTGTTTTAAATTTGAAATATCAATTCCTCACTTCCATTTCTTCACTGGAGGATGTAGGCAAGATCTTTGGAGGACGTGAACATAAACTATAAGGATGTAACCTGAACTGAAGCGATCCCTTCTTCCAGATAAGAGGGAAAAGGCTTTTATAACTTGGAGAGAAAGGCTTGTGTTATTGTGGATTCAACTGTTATTTCTCAACAGAGGAGATGTGGTGTTCCCAAATATTTTGGCTTAATATCCCTCAAAATCTGATGTGTCAGGCAATTAGTATCCCCAAGTTTTACATCTGGATCCCTTCTATCTAGTTAAGCCAATACCAGCATTTACTTGTATTATCCAACTGGCCTCATTTTGATAAGTGCTGCAACACACCAAGGATCAGGCCCTTCCCCAAGAAGCTTACAATATTTCCTCTAATCCAGTGATGACAGTTAACGAGAATTATTTTTTTAAATATTTAAAAATCCTATGTTGACATCTTACCACTAAGCAGTTCAATCCAGTTTTGTACTGTTTCAGGAGGCTGGGTTTCCTTAATGTGCTTCAGAGCTTCATCAAGTAGAACATCCCCTGTGGGAGCATCTGACTTGCAGATCACCTGACGGCAAGTAAAAGAATGCATTACACATCATCCTTCTGTATTTTCATCTCATTTTATACACCTTAAACATCTAGGATAAAAACTGGGAAAATACCCCTTAATACCACACAACACTATTACATTTGATCTGCAATTCTCAACAGTGCACACTACATCTTGATCAGGAACATCCTGTTTGAAACAATTTAAACCCAATTTAAAAACCACCAACAATTTCCTCTTTCTCTCTGAAGAACCTGCAGGGCAGCTTTAGTTAAAACCTCATTTTACCATACCTGGTGACTTACAGTTTGTACTTCTGCTGTACAAAAAATTAAGGCCGCCAAGAATTTAGCTGTGAAAAGTAAGTAGTGTGTAATTATCAAGTAGAGTCATTTATAGACAGACTTTATAAATACTGTTCCCAACTTTGAAACTTAATCATTATGTAAAGAGAATCTCTGATTAAGTTTTATTAGTCAGACTTACTGAACCATCCAAAGTAACCTTTATTGCTAAACTTTACTACACTTCAATTTTTAGAATTGACATTTCAGCAGATAACTATTCATCAAAATTTCTTTGTGGTCTCCCACTAGCTGCAATTCACTCTCTTCCATAACAATGTTATGATCTTTCTGTTGTAAACAGCAAGTTCTGCTCAGCAGTTGACATCTGGTGACATGATTTTTATTTACTTAAAAAAAAAAAGTATCTGCATGCAAATATATGCAGCACAATTCTCATTTCATATCCTACATTAAAGACATAATGCAGAAGAATTGCATTACCGATTTTTAGTATATTTAAACAATAGCAACAATTCCATGCAACAGTGAAATTAGATATTATTTTAACTGAGACCCATTCTCAAATGCAGGTTTCTTGGAGCAGGTTTCAACAGGATCAGTGGCATTCTTGAAGAAAATCCAGTCATTTATTCAATATCTGAAACACTTACACAAAAGTTTTCATTTTCAAAGTGCTTTAAAACTAAACCCATCCTCACAGAACTCCAGGGAAATCAGGAAGGTTTTTTTTGTCTATGGCCCAAAAGAGAGTCAAATCTGGAATTACAACACAAGAGCAGTGTTCCCTCTATTTTTTTCCATCCATGTGCGGAATTAATTTTGTTATATGCACCATATTGAGGTACTGTGCAGATGTGCACCACCAGTAGAAACCAAAAACCTATATAATATCTTTTTAAAAAGTTACCATAGGGATAATTACTCCAGCCAGGACAGGTTAGGCATTTTAGAACTCACTAAAATAATTAAATTTAAGCAAGAGAGAAATAAAAATTATGAAATGCACAGACCAGTCAAACAATTAAAATAACACACTTTGAAAGAAGTAACACCACCACCACAATTATGTGTTGGGAGGAGGTGAGTATGACACACACACAGAGTGAGACAGACAGACAGACACACATTGGCCCTTTAAGTATGCTGAACCCACTTTAAGTATGCTGCCCTTTTAAGTAGATCAGCAAGTTCAGACACAGCAGCAGTTTCCAGCAAGCTCTCTGTGTCCTGAGCCCTGTCATGTCCCTGTCCTCCCTGCACTCTGGAGACGGGGTACAGGGACAGGCCACCCAGCTGCGCAGCGTACATGGAATTTAGGACAAGAGCAGCTGGATCCCAATCCTATGCTCATATAGAGCCCTGTCTACCATCATACTACTACCTATTAAAAAAAAAAAAAAAAA